CATTTGGTGCTCATGCAGGTAGATGGATATAACTATTAATATGGGTTTGGTCATCATGGTATTAGAAGGCAGCAATGCATTGAGATACGGATGTATAGATTGAGACGTGTGAAAGCTGTGAAGACACAAAGAGTGACGCAGCCTGAGAAACTCGGGCTCGCCCGGGCTTGGCTCGTGGAAGCTCGCAGATGTCACTGAGCTTGGGCTGCTCTCGAAGAGAAAAGAGCTGGACAAAAAGAAACTGCCAATGTGAATTGAGTTATGGCGTCATTGAGGATTGCTTCAGAGCATGGAGGCTCATCGGCCATCACGCTTCAACATGTGAAATTTGGGAAGCTGGTGAAATTTGATAAAAAACGAACCGATGTGGCACGACTGCGCCGAGTCCTAGCCTATATACTCACACTTGCACCCGGCTCCATCCACATCTTTCCTGTTGGACTTGGAGCTGGTGATTCACTTGCGAGTGTCGGATCATTGTAGGTATGTAATTCATGATCTCACCTGTCGGACTCTTTTGCGAGTGTCTGATCACTATAGGTTATGACCGCTTAGCTCACTGCATACATATCTCGGTGCTGGGTTTTGATCTAACTTAACTATGGGTTGATAGATTTTTACACTCGACCTTTTGCACTCCATATTGAGTGTAAAAGTGGCCGAGTGTAAAAATTTACATACAGGGGGGTAAGATAGAATTTTACACTGAATATCTATCGAAATCAGCTGTGCAAAATAATCACGTGCAAAGTCACGTGTGTAAATTTCTAAGTTGATGTGTCAAAGTTTGAAATTTGCACTGTAACTTTTACATACGTTATTCAGGGCAAGAAATCCACAGGGCAAAAATCTGCATAGGGTCTCAAATTCTAATTTTGCACCCCAAAAGCTTTACACTCAAAGTTGGACGTAAAGCCCTTGTATGTCTTTTTTCAAAAGATCACCGCCAAAGTATAAGTTTGCACCCCATCGCCAAGCATTCAATCAACATATCCCTGCAGCAGTATCCGACCAGATCCGACCGGTAACACTATGCTGCTTGATGCCCTTCCCCCATCATTCCGATGCCCTAACACTATCATCACCGAAGACACCACCACCACCATCTATCACACCAACGCCCAAAGCTCTTATCATCCACCCCAGATTCCTTAAAAGGCACCACCGATAGATCAATTCCTGGATCCAATCGACCTGGGAGCCTCCAACCAACCCATCTCAGAACGCCTTTAGAGCTGACACCTGACACCTCTTATTGATCTCGCAATGGCACTCGTTCCCCTGCGTATACCTCCCCATAGCCCCAATGGATACCACGAAAGACTCAGTTCCTTTTCGCTTACCAGACCCCCATCGTCGTCGTCTCCAGAATCCGATACTTACAATCCAACACCCTCTGTCGTATTGCTGCTCTATCAACTCTACCGATTGTATCGATCCCATCATTTCATTCAATTCGACAACACTTACATACTTCCTACATCAAAGGAAATACCTTGCTACTTACTCATCTTGCTCAAGATGTCTGAACATGAATTCCCCAGCGACTTCGAAATTCCGAGTACCCCTGACCCTTCACGAAATCAAACTCAGTCTCTCGTTCAAACTCAGACTCGCGTTACTTTCCCTGATCCCGTTGTAGCTACTTCAAATGATGCAATCGTCATTTCATCAGGCGAGAAGAAGAAGAAAAAAAGAAATCGCCCCAAGAAGACCGGAAAGAAGTTCAAGATCCCTGTCCCGGCTACCGGTGACTTGACGACCTTCATTGACCATGGATCAACCTGTGATAGTCAAGGATACCCAATTTATCCTAATGGCAACACCGTTTTTGTTCGATTACCCGGAGACGATATCACTAACTTTGGCTACATTGCATATCCACACACTCAAAAGTCGCAAGGTAGCAAAGAGGAGTCCAAATGGAAGACCATTTGGTTTAAGTGTCTCGGAGTGTTACATTGTGACGACGAATTCTGTGATTACGCTGCGCCGCCTCCTACTGCCGAAGGGAAAGCAGCTGAACTGATCTTGGAGTGAGTTTTCTTTTAATGATGTCACGTTACAATAGTCTTAACCTCCTATGTGTTACATGGTCATTAGGTTCCCGATTTGTCCTGCTGTTGAATGTAGTGGAAACCACCAATGGACTCAATGCCCGGATTCGAACTGCTGATTCGATATTGAGAAGGCCACCGGCTGGGGCGTCCTTCGACACACCGGTATCCATAAGCATGTCTGGCCCTCGTCCAAAAAGGCGGACCCTCTAGCTATGCGTGCTCTAACGGCCCAGTTAGTTTCCAATCCAAAGGCCGGACCTTTGGTTCTGAAGGTGAGTATCATTCGAACACCACTGGCTCAAGTGGTCTTCCTGACGTCTCTGTTGTTCAGGTCTCATTACAGGTTGGGCAAGCTAGTGCAGGCCAGACGGTCACTGCCCCGGTTGTCGACATACATCCTGCTTTTGGTAATGGAGGCCGCCTAGGCTATTTACGACGCAAGGTTCTGGTCGAAAAGGGCCTCATGCCCGAAAAAGAAAGCCTTGGTGGAGGTGACCGGCTGATCATGGATCTGTTGCATTGGGGCAGGTAAGTTCTTTCTTTGACAAATACATATACTCTCCTGACACAAATGTGCTAATAAAGGAATGACCTTAATCTCTGGTGGGTTTAGGAACGGTCTCAGGTTGATCTCAACCTCTCTTCTCGGCACAGATGTTCACATCACATTCCAATCGGAATGGATGGCGGAACAACTGGTACGGCGGGATAAGGACAACAGGATGTATTCCGGGGGACTCCTATCTGACGTCACGTACCGCTTCTTCAACCACGGTTACCTACTCACGACCTCGATGTATAGCGAGATCATGCATCGCTGGATCCCTATTCAGCTCACCTGGCTGTGGGGCCTTGAAGAAGGACGTTATCGGGCTCACTTCACCACACTCCTCCAACAGATCTACCAATCCGACATCACCTACCACGAGCGGGACTTGTTGGTTCAACAAGTCGTGGATTTTTCTTCTGCCCAAAGAAAGGGCTTCATTAGTGCGTACATGAACGTCTTCAAGGAAAACGATCCCGCCAAGGCTTTGAGCAAGTTAAAGGGATGCCATGAACATTATCGTCAATCAATTACCCGAGTGAAGAAAAATCGCAATATAGTTGATGCAAGTAAAGTTGTAAGTCTCATACATCCTAGGTGCTCTGAAGTTTATCTCGAAAACACTAACAATCTTTTTGATTGGTCTCATTAGGCGGACTTCGAACGCCTCGCTCTCGACCTTCTCAAGCCAGATAAGCCTGGTGGAATGAATCTTCGGGACAAGTTCGATCAAATTGCCCGTCTGTTCCCCAAAGCCAAGGCCTGGATCGACTGGTGGAACACCTCAGACATCCATAGCATGCTGTTTGTGGCGCGTGAGCGTCTTCCGTTGGACGATCCACCCATTGAAGGTGAGGAGGACCTTGAGGCATCGCTTCCTGATACCACGAATGGTCAAGAATCCATGCACCGCCAGTATTACATCTTGACGTAAGTGATCTCTCTGTGAAAGAGCGACCTATCTCCATTACATAGGATTTCCCGTTGACTGATTCCCCTGGTGCTTTCCCAGTTCGGGTCACTGTACTATTGTTCAAGGGTTTGTACAGTTGCTTCTATTTACAGAATCTTTGAAGCGCGACTTCTCCCAGATTCGACGTGGAATCCCAGTCAAGTATGGCCGAAACTGGGACTCCATCGTGGAAACACTGGGTTGGTCCAAAGAGCGAACTCGGCGCAAACTGGACGCCAATGATGGACGCCCTCCAGATACCACCGACACCCTCCTTCGTCCTAAGAAGGGTGGCCGCCCGGTAGGATCCACCAATGTGAACCGCGACCGACACTCATCATACCAATCCTATTCCGCGAGCAACGATCGAGGCAAGCAAAATCGATGTTGGGAAACGGCAACGTTGGAAAGTCTCTATCCTGCATTTTCTCCGTTGTGGATGGAGGGCTCGAATGGCAAAGGTAAGGACATAGGGTCCAAGCTTATTCGCCACTTTTCCTCAAGAGCCTCTGCAGAAATGAATCAATCCTCTCACATTAAGTCGGTACTCTCACGAGGCCTCAAGTCTTTACATTCAGCCGTTCAAAATATTTCACCCACCTCTTTCATTACGGATGCTTTCTGTTCGGCCGACTTGTTCCTTGATTACCTCTTGCTCAATAAACGCAATCTCCCAACCTCCATTGGACGGCAATTTTCTTATCAACTGTTACGCGACTTTCAATGTACCGAACACCCTGCTCATCAAGAAAGTGAGATTGCGACTAAGATCTCAATTACCATTACATCATCTCTTTTCCATGAAGCCGGCCTGGAATACTCAGATATCACGCAACTCTTATCTTTTTGGCACACCGATGGTATGTTCTCGACGAGTCCTCGATGCTGCCCTACCTGCCGAAACCGCCGCAAGCAGGAGATGTCAGGCCGGCCTGACTCTCCTGATGATAGAGAAGACAGCAACAGCAATGTCGTATCAGCTGATATTCCTCAGTTGTATGAACGATCTCGGTTGGACTTCACCAAAAACCCAATGAATCTCTACTTTCACCTCGGAAACGCTGCTGCTCTTCCAGAGGACGTTTGTGATAGCTTTATGGGGGAGATGCAATGGCCGGAATCGCTCACCTTTGACAAAACGGTTTATCAAGTGGTCTCACGTGGTTTTTGGGGATACAACCACTACTGGTGCAAGGTGGTTAGAGTCGTTGATGGGGCTCAAGGAGTATGGTATTACGACGATCGCAAGGACGATGGTCGAGCGCAACTCCTTGGTCGGGATCTCAGCTTGATCTCGGGGGCTCAGCCTTCGACTAGTTGGCTGGTGTACTCTCGGAAGCCGACCTCTGAAGAACAGAAGACCATTGATCGTGGGGTAGCCAAAATAACTCAAAAGAACCCGGAGGCGCTTGGTGATGTACCTTTTGTTACCGCCGTCGACATGGCAGGTGTGGAGGAGCAAATTGAAGAGGACTTGCCATCTTACAAAGTCACCTCAACCGTGGTCGATGCCAATGGTCCTGGTGATGGTGTTTCAACCAGAGGACATTTTGGTAACATGTCCAAGCAAGCATTCACATCAACGTGTGAGTTCATTATTTTTCCTTTCTACTCGATTCCCTTATTTATGATTAATTTGTTTTCGTATCGTATGTGGTGTCAGGTCCTCCGGTTCTTGGACAGCACAATGTGAATAAGGGCCATCGCAATGGGAGTCAGGCAAAGGCGGCTTTTTCATCGACTTGTAAGTTGTTTGACAAGTCTTTGAATGCCTCCGCCTTTTTTCCCTATATTTATTTACTTTGTTCCATGGCAGGCCCACCAGTCTTGGATCATCATCGCCATCAAGATCATACCCACGATGAAGGTGATTTAATCGAAAAAAAACCATATGAGTTGGAGGATTCTTTCGACGCGGCGAACGAGTCATCCAGCAAGGACATGCTGGATGACCACGAGGTCACCCATCCACCCAAGGGCGCTCAAACGGATCCACTGACCCTGCGCCTCCGTATCAAGCAACCAGCTCCTGATTCTAGCCCTGTCAAATCGCCTTCTCCTTCACCATTCAAGCAAGAAGCAAGGACTACTAGGAAAATAGCAAACGGCAAGAAAGGAGTGGTCAAGGCCAAGAAGATTGAACCGAACTTAGCAGGGGTGGGACCGGTCAAACAAGAGGCCAGTATGGAAGTCAAGGCTAAGGCTAAGCCAAAAGGAAAAAAGAAAAAAGTGGCGAAAGTTTGATCATTTGTGGTTTCTGTCTGTAATCATTTTCTTTCCAATAAGAAAATCAAATGATCATGATCGCGAAGGTAAGCGCGGGAGTCATCAAGTTTTTCTTCCTTCTTGTTTTTGTTTGAATTGTGCTGTGATTCTATGGCGGCGGGCTTCTTGAAATACACAGTGGCCAATTATGTGGTGGATAACTTTTTGTGCTAAGCAGTGATTCAAAATTTGAGACAGTGAGAGACTCTGAAACATACACATACTGCACATATCGTGAGATATGTAAGTGAATTAATTAATATCGTGACATTGAGTATTGAAACAACTTTATTTTTGCCTAAGTCGCGTTCTGTGTAAAATTGTATATCTGGGGTGAATTTTTCAAATTCTGCACTCCAGCCCATTGCACAACTTATCTTGTGTAAACCCTTTGGAATGCAAAAGTATCATTTACCCGCCCAAAAGTGACTTTTGCACTTGACGTGTTTACACTGCAAATGGAGTGTAAGGATATCAAGTGCAAAATTCAACCTTTGACACATCGAGTTAGAAATTTACACAGGTGACTTTGCACGTGATTGTTTTGCACAGCTGAATTTGAATGATATTCAGTGTAAAATTCTATCTTACCCCCCTGTATGTTAATTTTTACACTCGGCCACTTTTACACTCAATATGGAGTGCAAAAGGTCGAGTGTAAAAATCACTTAACCCCTTAACTATTAGGGTTTTGATGAACATCCCAATTTTGAACTTTGAACTTGAACTTGAACTCGAACTTTGAACTGAAAACTGGACCTGAAGCCGAGTGGTGAACTTGAATTTGAACTTGAATCCGAACTTGAATCCGCATCATGAACTTGGGTTTTGATTTTGAATTCGAACTTGAACTCAAAATTGCACCTGGGCTTGAATTTGAACAATTGTTAGTTCGCCTGGAAGGTAGTCTACATTACGAGCTGGGCAGGGAACGAAATAATATACATTGGCCGAGACGGTGCGTGCAACCAGATCTATTGCTCACGAATGGAACGAATGGACTTCGCATGGCGGAAAGCGATATCAATGATTGCCCGAGCCAGCACAATTTGCTACACTTCCATCTGAATTAAGGGTGCAATTGTGGACCATGGCAGAGACTTCAGGCTGAAGTGGTTGCCAAATTGCTACGTCACTCCCGTATAACGATAGTCAACAGCGTAGGACCAGCGACATCGAGAAACGAGAGCGGCCTACCCAGAGATACCCAGAGACGCGAAGCAGCAAGTGTGGGATAGCTTCCGATGCGCGGGAAGACGATTATATAACTTGAGCCTTTTGAAGGATGGATTGACACACTCTTCACCTGTCAAGTTCCATTTCCACCTTTCTATACTTTCTTCGATTCGATTCGACATACTTTCTTCGATATACTTTCTTCGATTTATATTCACCATATTCATTGATTGATTTTGTAGTCCATTTATTTGTCAAAGTAGTCATCAATTTTTTTTTGTCATTCAAGCACATATTTTTCTTGCCTTTATTTTTTCTTCCAACGCTTCGCCTAACTACACTTCAGACTCTATCAATGGCTTCCATCACACAGAACGTTCCAGCAACCACCAGCGCTGCCCAAGTAGCCTCAAACCCAATGATCCCTGGTGTGGGTACCATCAGTGGCGAAGATTATAATGATCAGCTCTCAACTTTGCCAGAGGACTCTGAGGAACATGGCTCTGAGCAACGCAACAGCTCTGATGTTCTGCTCGAAGCAAGCAACTCGGAAGATTTTGACGATGAGATTCCAAGATCAATCCACGGAATCGAGGGCGCAATTCCCGAAAGCCAAATGGGCGACGATGAAAACCTGGACAACAATGATCCCACCATTCCTAGTGTACTCTTCATGATCCCGTTCCCGGCCCCCGTCAATGGCCGACGTTCGAAGAGCACTACTCCCTATTTGTTATAGTAAGTCGACCTATTGCTTCGCATCCACTTTACTACTCGTATTGAGCCTCAAAACTCTTTTTCGCAGCACTCCGCCTCGCTCTGTGTACTCTAAGCCCCCGAAAGGCGAGGATGGCAAACGTCCCAAAGAAAAGATTCTCAAAAGGGTGGTACGTCATTATCAGCAAGAAGTCAGATTTGGTGAGCAAATCAAACGCCGAGAAGTCCCCAAGACTGGAAAGTTCTACCGATTACAAAAGATCAGGGGTGGCTGCATTCGGGTTTGTCTTCATCATCTTCCTCCTTACACCGGATAGACTTGAAAGCTCACCTCCATCCTAAATTTACACACAGGGTGCCAACATGCTTACCAAGTGGCTTCCTAGTCCCTGCGTCGAGACGTTAGCTCGCTTACCACCCAAGTCTAAATTGGGAGAGGTTAGTCGGGCTCTTCACTACATGCTAGGCATTTTCTGACGCGTCACCATTTCCCTAGGTCACTGTGTTTTTTCCCGCATACGCTGGCGAGCCTCGACCAGACGAAGAGGATCAGCCTTATCAACCTACCGAAGAAGAGTTGCGTCATGATATCAATGTGCTTCTCCGCCGCACTAAAAGACGTGTTATGGTCCGATTAATAATGTAAGCCCGACCCACTGGAAAACTATCACAAAGCGCTGCTATTGACCCCATTCGTTCCTCTATCAATCTACCTAGTGCCAGTGCCTTCATGCCCATCGCAATTGGAATGTAAGATACCCCTTAATCGCACTAAATCAGGAGTCACGAAGTGTACTGACATCATCGTCTTAACAGTGATTTCTTTGCTCCGGCCTTCTCTGTCGAAATCACCCTCGCCTACTTGGCTTTCCAAGTCTACGGTTGGAGAAAGGTCAAAGCTTTGACGTCCGCCGCCAAGAAGAACAAAAAGCCCAAGAGTACCAAGAAGACCAAGAAAAGCAAGAGCGCACAAAAAGCAATCGAGGGTGGTGCTTCTACCGGGGAAGTAATCAATGGAGTCCCTGGCGCATCTGCAGAAGGTTCAAATGAAGTTTCTGAAGACGGACCCGAACTCTTCCGTATCACCCCGGCCAATCAAGCCATCTTTGACCCATTGATCAGCTTGATGTACGACATCTGCCACCGCATAGATCCTCTAACCTTTCCAGCTCTTCAAGAAACGGCTGTTGTCGTCGAAAGCCCTGCTCAAGACACCCCCGTTGATCAAGACGGTGCTACTCAACCTTCAGGGGAGCGTATCAAACTGCAACCTACCCTACACAAACCCGATCCACAAGTTGTACGTGAGTTGTTGGCCGCCTTCCGAGCCAGCTTACCTGAAGAACTCTTGGAGCGACACATTCTTGATGAAGACCGTGTCTCAGAGGATCTTGCTCGATACATGAAGAAAGCTGCCGTTGAATATGTCTGGTCTCTCAAAGGTCGTCCTGAGCGTTCTCCCATCAAGATTACTCGCAAATGGATTACTAAACGCAAGACCGTACATCAAGAGAGAAAGCACAGAGCTCAAGTCAAAAAACAAATCAAGAAGCAACGCGCTGAAGATGCACTCAACGCTCCTGCTGAAGAGCAAGACACAACTGCTGTTCCGGAGGCTGAGGTACCCCTCCTTTCTGAAACATCCGATGTCTCCCCAGGTGAATCCAAAAAGGAGAAAAAGGAACGATTAGCTAGAGAAAAGAAAGAAGCAAAGGAAATGATGGCACAAGAAAAGGCTCAATTCCGTGAACAAGCTCGAATCGCCAAGCAGGAGAAGCTGGCTCTCCAGCAGGCAAAGAAAGATAAAAAGAAGGCTGAGTGATCTGGCTATCAGTTTTGCAGCGCTTCGCTATTTTATCTACTTTTCTGAGCATGTTGTTTATTCGCCTCATTTCTTCTGATGTTTGGTTTCCAATTTTTCTATTTTTCATCCTTCTCATCATGACTATGTATATAGCACCAGACCAATACGTGACGACATCCATTATTGTATAAACCAAAACCACGCTTGACTTAATACCCATTTATGACCATGTATATAACACCAAATCATCCTTGTCACGATATCCATTCCTGTACCAATGAAAAACAAGCATGACTTAATACCCATAAAAGAAACTTTCCATTATTTTTGAAATTCACATCGGAGTATCTTAAGTCGCATCTCAAGTTTTTTCCGAACGCCCAACTTTCCATGCATTTGCCGGCCGAAACCTCAAAGCAGTTCAGTTGAGAATCCCCTAACCTTTTCCTCTCGGCCGCTTGCTCGAATATCGAACTTGATCTTTCGTATCCCTCCAGCGGCCACATGCTGCTTAGATCTCTTCAGTTCCAAATCTCCTGGGCATGGAGAGTTAAAAAGCACTGAGCTTCGTTCTCTCATTTGCATCACATTGCTTTACGGTTTTCTCGGACCATCCATGATTCTTGGTCTGTCAAATAAGGCCAGATGTTTGTATGTAGCGATTGTGACATCTCATCATTTGTGTTTAGTTGCAAATTTACTCTATTCATTTACTCAAATGACCAACGCGATAAAAATATGCGAGTCCTTGTTCCAAGGTTTTCTGTTGACCAATTTCAATTTAAAAGCAATAAAACATAACTTCCTACCAGCTCCCATGGTATCAAAGGAAACAATTCTTAATACTCGATTCAGGCATGCAAGAGATAACACCAGCATGGATAAAGATGCCAGATAGGACCAGGAGCAAATAAATCGAAAATCTCCATGACTCATTCTTAATTCATACGTCAGTCACAAAAATGTTTATACCCCTAGGGGCTCAGAAATTCCCCAACAACCCCTGAGGGTGATGGAAGCATTTGGTAATAGTTTGCAACCAGCAATTCGATTATCCTCAGTATACACTTCACTGGATTAATCACTTGCCCGAGCACAAAGATAAAAGGTCGTCGGTTTTTGGAGCATATAAAGCCTTCAAAAGTTGCCGAGGTTCGAACCCTTTGTAGATACATCATATCACATCTACAAAAGCTCCTCTGCCTCTTATGATATATCATTCTCATTGATGAAGCTTGATGAGATTGACGTTCGGTCGTTTGACCAGGACTCCGGATTTCGGGAAGCTCCTCGATACGACGATTAAAAGTGTGACAAGCGTCGAAGAACTTGGGTAAATCATTGATCGTCACATTGATTGTCGTCTTATGTACGTCACAGTGTACCTCTCTCGTCATCTCTTTTCTCTTTTCCCCCATAATTCATGTTGTATTTTCACTTATGTTGTATACTCTGTTTCCATGGACAAAGACGATATCGGTTTCCAAACTTTCTAAGCTTTGGTTAGATACCCTTCAGCCTTATCTCGGAGGTAGCTTGGGACTGCTGTTGGGATCTACGATTGAAACAAACTTTAGACGGACGTTTATTCTTATCGAAGTTTGTCTTGGGTGACACGAGGTGACACGCAAGCAGTGATGCTCTATCGTCGATCATATGCTCAATCCGCTGATCAAGAGATGATCAGAATGTGTGGTCGGAATGCGCGTCGTGTTACACATATGACACAACCAAAATATGCTGCCCACTTTCTTGTATGCGCAAGCCTTGGACACTGGACTTCAGATATCAAGATAGGAACAAAGAGATGAGGGGCTCATAGATTTGGCATCATAGTTTGCATTTAAACAGTGGCTGGGCATATCCATAAAATCATGCAAGATAGGAGCATACAAGAGATCCAGGGGTTTGAACTTGCAAACAATATTGAAGAGGGACCTTGAAGTCTCCAGTGACTTTATTTGTTGGAGAGGGCAGATTTGAACATTAAAAAATACAAAATAAAATAGAAAAGGTCGTCTGAATGATCATCAAAAAACACACTCAAACATAGGCAACATACACCGATTCAACATGGAGAGAGAACGTTCACTAGCATTCGGAAGTACGAGAAAGACTATAATGATAGACAACGACAAAGACTCGCTGGGATTCTTCAAAGGACAAACGGCATATATCGATGATGGAGCTGTAAGGAAAATCGAAGGAATCTTGATTGAGGTCATTTACCGACGTCTGTTGCTAATCAGTATGGACCTATGGGTTTCATATGGGGTTACTACGTTGAAGGACATTGTACATTTATGCCGGATATCTGAGTGTGAAGATGAGCTGAGCAAGCCGGAAGCTGTTGTCGAGGATCTTCAGCAACTCACTTCGTCTGATAGTCCTTCTCTCGTTTGAATAAGAGGACATGAGGTTCTGGGGCTGTTGATCACACAGCGGTCAGAGAGATGTTTGAAAGGGATTTAGGCTTGAATGCATAGATGAAGTCACACGTACCGTGTCGCATATAATGTTCCCATCCAGGACTCTGTCGGATACCAAGACCTCTCCATTCATCTTCCTCAGCCAAACGATCGGTCGGTAGATACTTCACCAGCTAAAAAGAACAATAAACGATAAGCTTATCTCGTGGCTTGACGTTGGGTTGAATGAGAGAAAGTGCTTGCCTGTTTGGGTAAGATGACATGGCGGTATTCCCAAAAGTCGTCTGAGTATCGCGCTGAATAGAAGATCTGATCATGATACTACGAGATGAATCGAGTGAAAAGGAAATGTTAGTGAAAGGACCTTTACAACTCGATCCCGAACAGAAAGAGGAGGAGGATCAAGAATAGTGAAGTAGGAAGGCGAACTTTTTCAATGTCCCGACGCTTCTGTTCGGCGTTTACGGAGGCAGAGGTGGTTCTTTTAGACATCTCGGAACGTTTCAGATCAAGAGTGAATGATACTAGCTACTGAAGCTGTATGAAGCGCGTTGAAGAAGTAACGTGTTGTCTATCGACGCGAGGGGACGAGTGAACGGACGAGATTTAAGTAGAAATGATTTGAAAGTCGGTTGAGATTTGAAACGAGTAATAAAGCTCTCAAATAGAGGGAAATGAATTCGAATGGTGGATCGATGAGGGATGGATGAAGGCTGAAGGTGGATATTGGTTGGAGTAAGGCTTAAGCTCAATCAAAGTGAGAATCTTTTGGAGAGTTGACCGAAGCAAGGGAGAAGGTTGATTTCACCAAGAGCGGGGAATTCAAATCGAAAGGTAAACAAGACAAAAATAGGTTGTATGTACTAGAAGAATACAGGAAATTTAAGTACATACATCCAAATCTATGTATCACTTAGACCTAAAACCTGTATGTACACTCATCCTAATTTATCATCTGCTTTCTTTGAATTCAAAAGTCACGCGCAATCAAGCTCATCGTCATGATTAAAATCCACCAGGAAAATGAATGTGTTATAAATCGTAATTCAATCCTTGCCGTACCTTCCCGAAGGAACCAGGCTCTTAATCATTTTTCTTTTTCACCCGATTTATATATGCGCAAATCGTAGCAGACTTGAACATCGTGATTCGTGAATGACCGGAATGCGCTTACTGATGTGAAGTCAAAGCAAAAGCATGTGTACTTTTTTGTAATTAATTTTCCTCAGCTTCATCTAGAATTTGAAACCTAGCCAAGTCTTTTCCACAGAATCCAAATAAATACCCACACAGTATGTGTACTTTAAGGTCTATCTATAACAAGACCAACTCATTTCCCCTCACACACTTCACGGAACTTGAAGACACTGTGCTTCCCGACTTGACACGCAATTCGAGCAATGATGGGGCTAGCAGAAAAAGGGAGTATGAACTCAAACTTCATGAATTGATAAGAAGTGATATGTTAGGGAAATGCACCGGTGGGGAAATGAAGGACTAAATTCTTGATCGTGGCGGTGATCTTGCTTCTTGGCCCTATTGCCGCAATGATAAATTAGCTGTCACTTGTCCGGATTTCGGCGAGTCGCGACTGCCTATATTCTCCCCGCAATGAAATCTTAGGTTTGCAATCCGCCCGGCGGGACCCATATGATGACGCAACTCATGATAAATGAGACAATAAAAGTCTCTTGACGAAATAGTTGTGTATACATACAATGCCTGTAGCTATTATTTAAAGAATTAGGCCCCTCAAAGCCGAAATCAACCAATCTCTGATCGATACATAAATGGCTTGAATTTGTTTTGAGTGGGAAGCAAAGTCAGACACGGACATAGGATTGTCATAAATTCAGAAGGAGATAGGTTTGCGACATGAATCTCTGTGGCAATAAAGCTGAATCAATTACTCTCTGATAAAGTTGAGGGCAGATTTGATTTGACTTGGCACCAATTTTTTAATCTACTACAGCATACTACTGGTCCAATGTTATGTTGGTTCTGCTCAGTGAGAATGCAAGATCCTTAAAAAGAAGGGTAAAAAGGGTTGATGGCAGAGGAGAAGTGAGGACGTTTGCAACATATCAGATGAGTGTGACCAAGATTAGTAAAGATAAGCTTCTTGTTTATCATTTAGCCAAACTGATCATGTAGACTATGATTTGGATAATGAATAATCTTTCAACATATATTGAGATCACACAGGTCCTGGGTGGAAGGTAAAGGTTGGGATCGTGTGCGGTGACGGTCCGACTCTTATCCTTTTTAGCACTTACCTTCGAATTGCAGAGAGGTATCTGGCACCCTGTGCATGGTCAGCTCCAAATGAGAAGGGTCTAACTGAATATTCTTTACACGAACAAAAGACAAAAAGAAGTAAACATATTATTGATATAGTGCAAGTCAATGTTGACTGCGTATCTATCTCCTATCTTCTTTCAAGACTGAAAATTCAAGCTCCATTAATGACCATTGATCTCATATGTACATTTACCATTTGAATTTCTTGATAAATCGTCGTCTAAACCTGAGCTAGACGATGCCACATTTATCCGGTACATGACCACCAGCCAGACGGACTGAACTTTGCGAGAGACGCCAGGCTTTACAATGCTCGAACATATCCTCGCACTGAATCCAGGAGACAGTTTAAATTTGGACCAATGGAAGGCTTACATTCTTGTAGGTAAGAAATTCTATTGAATACTATCGAAACGAGATGAGGTCAGTTCTCGTTTCGAGTTCAAGTGCTCTTTTTGAACACACCACAAATTGTGCTCAGGGAGCAGACCTGCTTGCCTGTCATTTTGAATTGCTCGTGTTAGGACCTTCAGTTAAGAATGGCACAGCTGTGCTGCGGTAGCTGCTTTTAGCATCAGTAAAGCTCTCACGGTTATGCCTCCAAGGTAACATGGCCTTTTAGAGTACCACTGGACGTAAATTTTACTCATCTGTCTATGTCGCTATTGCCACTATCACTGCTCAATCAGTGTTGAATATGGATTCGAAGTTGATTGAGTCTTATTGCATAAACAAGAGCCAATGCTAGCTGTAAGAAGATTGATAGATGCATACAATAACAAAATAGATATACACTTAACATCGCGTTGCACTGCACACATTGAGCTAGACGGCGTGTACCATTTAAGAGGAATTGCATTGCGTCCAAACCTGGATGACAGTGAAGCTTGAGGCTGACACAATCATCAAGTCATTGTAAGAGGTTCATGATTGCATGCGCGTCTTAAGACTCGGCCCGACGTCTTATCAGAGGGGTTTGAAAAAGTAAAATTCGAGGGGCTATCAGTGACATTCAAGTCCAGTTCAGCCATCCAACTCGCCTTCTTCGCCGTCGCTTTTCTCTACCAATTTGGTATCGACCGTCTCATTGATTTTGACACGCTAGGATCAAGAAGAATGGTGCGAGATCAGCTCTCCTGCCAGTTGCTTCCTCTACCATTCATATGAGGGCATGTAAAAAATGAACAAGGCATTCAACTTACTTTCAATTCACGCTCTTCTTCATTGTTTACGGGCCGAGTGAGGTTATCGGCGAGCTCAGTACTTCGAGCTCTTTTGTCGACCAAATCAGCCCGGCCGTCTTTAATTCCTTCAGATTTCTTTTCGGGAACAGGTCCATCTTCATCTTCATATCGGCTGGATCGATGACGATCGCGGTCGCGCTCATCGTAGTCACGATCTTTGCGTGAGCGATGGTGCCTCTGGTTATGTCGATCCGTGTCGAAGTCTTTCCTTCGTCGATCTCTATCATCCGTCTGAGATATGGACGTACGAGCTCGATCACGATCATCGGGACGGTCTTTCGTGCGGTCTCTGTGATCTCGGTCTCGAGTGCGGTCGCGGTCGCGGTCACGGTCACGGTCACGGTTCGTATCTCGGCTTCTATCTCTATCTCTGTCCCGATTCCTGGATCGATCTGAATCCAGATTCCGAATATCCTCCTTCGGATGATCTCGTTCTGCTTCAGGTTCCACGTCTGCTCCCCTAGCGGGTGCCTTACTACGCGCACGATCCCGAGGGGTATCCTTCTCACGATCATAATCACGATCCCTTGCCCCATTCCGATCACGCTCTTTACCCCGGTCGTGGTCTCTGTCTTCGCGCGAGTCCTTCGGAGCCCGGGGAGAGGAATGTATGTCATCACGTCGACCGCTTCGAGGTGAGGAATGTCGGTTAGGCTTATCCTCATCTAATAAGTCCCTCTTTTTGCGCTTGGAACTTGATATGATACTTCCTTCGTCGTCTGAATGTTGGAGTAAGGATTTCTTTCTGTAATCGGCTCTTGGAGGATCATCATCTTTTCGCTTATTTCTCTTTTCTTCCAAGGTAGCTTTCTCCTTCAAACGCTCCATATACCTGCTAAAGGCTTCCTTCCGACCATCCTCTTGCCCATCAAGTGACTTGTATTCTTGCATATGCGAAAAACGCTCGATAGCTTCTTCATAAGGCGTATCTAGCTCGATTGGTGGCGACAACTTTTTAAGTGCATATCGCAAGTCTTCAATCTGGTTGCGCAAACGTTTCTCGAATCTCCGCCTTTCCTCTTTAGCCACTCGAACGACATCATCATGTAACTACATTTGGGAGACGAATCGGATTGGATGAAAAAAACGTCACTAAAGATCATACAAAAAAAACTTTGCCCACATGGAGAAAAGACTGACCATTATGAAGACATACGTCAAAGTCTTTTTGTCCAGAACCGCTGCATCTGCATGACCATCGAGCCAACTTAAGAATTGATCGAGTTCCGTGGTCTCAGTGATAGTTTTTTGTTGATCAGCCAAAATGCCCTGGACGATTTTGGCTTTTTCTTCAGTTTCTTGATCTAGATCGTCCACTAGGTCCCAGAACAACTCAAGTGGAGAGCTACCCGGGTTTCCAACTAAATTTTGGTATCGCTCGTCAGCTTCTATAAGAGGGTAGACCTCTTTCCACATAGCGCCAGGTTGAATTTCGCCTTTTAGTTTCAGTTCATGTAGTAGTTGGATATATGCGGCCCGAGCCTTCCGGTAAGCGCGTCGTTTGTCTTCCTTCTGTTTGGCTTTCGTTGCGTTCGAATCTTTCTCGGCTCGCTTGACTTCTTCTTCAAACACCATCAGCATGTCGAGGTCGTCCATCTTTCGCAAATCGTCGTCGTTTTGGAAAAATTCGCTGCGCAAGATCGCTTCTTGGGCAACACGCCATTGCATAGTCTCAAGGTCGCCAGATAAATCCAACTTTTCTTCATGAGCCCTCAACAAGTCTGTTAATTTTTCCTGCTGTCTGCCCCGTAATTGATTGGCGGCCGTTGTTTCCTTCTGTCGGAGGTCAGTCAAGTAGTCTTCCCATAAGATTTTGCGCTCTTCGTCGTCCCGGGCAAGTTTCCAAACGTCAGGAGCGCGCAATTCCATCTCCCTTTTGAGACGCTCGTAAGTCCACCAGAGTTTTGGTGGAGCTCCGGGCAACTTGATCTCAACTCCTTCCTCATTCGTGGTTGTTTTTTCTTCAGAAAGGCTCTCCAGCCCTGCGTTCCAACTTGCCCGGACACGAGTGATATTCTTCTCTCTGTTTTCTTTCTCTCGCTTGCGCTCGTTATCAATGAATTTTTCCCACGCAGCTTTACGAGCGGCCAGAGTGTCGAGGGCTTTGTAGAGAGGTTCGGTAATGATATCTCGCATTGTTTGTTCCCAAGTCCAGGTAGGATTAACACCTTTCACTCGAAGAAGGCCGATGAAAGCGCGCTCTGCTTCTTCAGGAGTCTTGAAGTCCGGCAGAGTGGTTGTAACGGGTGTAGGGACCGGTGCCGAGTGCAGGATGGAAGTGACTGGACGAGGCGGCAGACTAGCTGCGGGGGGTACAAAACCTGCTGGGGCTGACGAGGTATTGGGTGTGCTCGAACCTGGAGGTCTCATGCTCGGAGCCATCGCGGGGTTTTGGGTGGCGGGTACAAAACCAGGATGCGGTGGTGCAGAAGCAGGAGTGGATGTGGGAGCCGTTGAAGACACTGGTGGACCAGGGGTCGGCGGGACAGGCGCAGATGGGGCTGATGCGGCAGCTTTTTCGATCGCCTCCCGTACCACATCCGGCAGCGTCCAAGTGGTTTCCTTTGTTTCGGTGTGGTGCCAGTATTTACGACCCTCAGCAGTTTGATACTCTTTCCAAGGTGTCGAAGCCAATGCACGCTCAGAAGGTGTTTTTAAATCGTCAGGACGCTCCCATGAGGATGTTGACGTGGTGGCATTGTACCAATAGAGTCGTCCAGTTGGTGAACGATGTTCTGTCCAAAGCGATGCCTTAGAGTAGAAAAAGATATCAGTTCGATGAAAACTGCAATAGTGAGTCAATGTTTGAAAATTCTGACCATAGCCAAGAGTTCCAGGCCAATATTATTCAGTTTTATGGAGTAGTTGCTGGAGTTAAGGTGATCGAGGTTTTCAGGATCAATCGTAATCACCCGATAATAAGGGACTCGTGCTGTGCCAAATTGTGGAAATGCTGATCTCTCTTTCATAATATCAAGGTCGACCCTCGCTACCGACAACTCCGCAGACCCCGACCCAGCACTCTGACGGGTCAGGTGTATCGGCCCGAGGCAGTTGTTACAACACCGTCGAAATTTGTCAAGCATAATGAAACCTTTGTCGAGCCATGAGGCTGCTTCTTCCTTTTTATGCTCCTGATACAGTCAAACCCCTCTAAAGCAGTACCCCTCTAAAGCCTTAACCCGTCTATAGTGATGGTTTTTTGGTTCTCCCAAGTTGGGAGGGGCCAAAGTTTGTGAAAAACCCAAAGTTCCGTCTAACCCCTTAACCCATACCCAGAATCCAAAAAAAAAATCAATCTTTTCAATGCAAAGCCATAGAAAAATGGCTAATAGGGAGGTAGGAAAGGGGATACCTCCAACAGCTTCTGAAGCTTTGAAGGCAGTATCTTTGCTTACACAATTCATTGAAAGTACTGATATGCCCAAAGCAACAGCTGTTGACCCCCTTCTCCCTGCTCTTGAAAGCGCATTGACCAGCAAGACCAATTTTGCCAACAAAATTCAGCCCTCCATCACTTTCTCCTTTAGTAGAAATTAAACAAATCTTGTGATGTAGTTACAATTTTAAATGTATTCTTCTCACAAAAAATTAACACAGCAGATACTGAAATATTTGATAGCAAGTTAGACTTTTTCAACAACAAGACCCATATAAAGTCCTATTTTCTATGGCTGTAGCGGGACCACCCTCTAAAGCCATGTTTCCATGTCTTTAGAGGGATATGTTCTATGGTTGTGGAATGTCCACCCTCTAAAGCCATGGTTTTCATAAATTTAGAGGGGTTTCAATGTAAAGCCATGAATGTATGTCTATAGAGGGGTTCCTCAACAAAGACATGTCCCCTCTATACCCATAGGCTTCCCCGTCTCCCAAAGGGTTTGGCTTTAGAGGGGTTTGACTGTATTGCATTTTGCACAAAAGCTCATGGTACTAAATTAGAAGTCGACCATACACACTCAATCCATCCTAAATGACCTGTCTTGTTCTTGAAGCAGATTTAATGAAATCTTTGTTGAACTCGAATTTCCAAAACATATATGAAATTTGTCCGGAAGTCCTTGACGCTATGAGTTCACGCTGACTGAGTTGACATATAACAAATAAGAAAAATAAAAACGTAAGAGCATCTCCAACGGAGTCGGTATCTGAAAACCTCGTACACATCCGAATTAGGCCTGCTGAAGATGTACAGCCTGCTGTATTCGTTATTGAGATTCGGGTTCTTCCAACGCGCACATGAGGCACCACCTCCCAAGGTTATGCGGCTGCCGGTAATGCCAGATACCATACCGATTGAGAATAAGATGACATCAATCATATTCAAAGATTGTGATCTTTGATTACGATCGATTGTGATCGAGCTGATACGAGATCACTGCACATCACCACTTGATATGAATCTTCCGTACTTTCCGATATATCACCTGCTACCTTTATCTTTTGTTCACCTCTTTTGAAATCCGTTGCTTCTGTTCTCTCTCATATTGCTATTTTGTCCACATCAATTCTTTGTTCATTTTATTATCATAAGTAAATTTCAAGATGAACCGTGATGGAATCATTTCTCCTTCTTTCATAGCTCAATTTGTCATTTGCGCTGGCCTTCAAAGGCAATATCTCGCCGCAATTTCAACTTATAGCCCAGAAGTCCAGGCCTACCTCATGGTATCACATATACCTCGCGGCCCTGGGGGCTCTCATCCTGGAAGGTCGCCGAATCTGCCACGTGATGCTGTGATGGGACACCTCGGGTTAATTAGGGACTACTTTGATGTCACGCCGGTCTATAGCGAGCTGATGTTTCGAAGACGATTCCGAATGAGTCGTCGCCTGTTCGTACACATCGCGAAAACCTTAGGAGATCTCAACCCTTACTTCACGCAGAGAAGTGATGCCTTAGGTGAGTTTAGTTAGTGATGATTCAATCAACGGTAATCTAATTGACCTCCGTCCCTGGATTTTGGCAGGAAAACCTGGTCTATCGCCTTTCCAGAAGTGTGCGGCTGCTCTGCGACAACTCGCCTACGGAACCTCGGCGGATGCTCAGGATGAATATCTACGGATTGGTGAATCAACCGCTATTGAGGCTCTCAAACGTTTCTGTATGGGAATCATTGTCGCTTTCAAGGCTCAATTTCAACGCAAACCAAACGCTGAGGATGTTCAACGTATTCTCGAGGACAATGCGAGTCGTGGCTTCCCTGGCATGCTCGGCTCGCTTGATTGTATGCACTGGGTGTGGAAAAATTGCCCGAAGGGATTGAAAGGCCACTATAGTGGCAAAGAAGGAGTGCCGACTTTGGTTCTCGAAGTCGTGGCAACTTGTGATCTCCACATCTGGCACTCGTTCTTTGGACTACCTGGAAGCCTGAATGACATCAACGTCTTGGACCGATCACATTTGTTCCAAGATTTATCTTTAGGTATTGCTCCACCCTGTGAGTATACTGTGAACGGGCAGGTCTACAACACTCCGTATTATCTTGCGGATGGGATCTACCCAAACTGGTCTACTCTCATCCAGACCATCAGCAGTCCTCAAGATCCTGCACCTAGTGTAAGATTAAAGTTAAGCCCCAGTAAACTGCCAGGGAGATCGCCATCCGACCCTGCGGGTGGAAGGACTATCAGTTCAATTGACCGAGACACTGACAAAGTTTGCATTAAATACTCACCATTACCTGACGAACCGCGCCTGCGTTCTTCTGTAATGATGTTGTACGGTTGACCGGCACCGACGTGATGTCCTGGCCAACGACCTCTATGAATATCGATTTCAGGGCTACGGGAAGCACCTGATGAAGAATAGTAAGTTCATATTCTTGCTCAGTCAGTCATTACGGGGGAAACTCACCATTACCAGGTCCATTACTGGCTCCAGTAAAGGTGTGATACGGATGACTGGCGTTATGAGTAACAATCGGGCTACGGGTGGAAACTGAAAACGAGGTTTTAGAATCCAATGTATAGTATAGCATGAGGTACGTGAGTGCATTAATCACGTACCATGTCTAGAAGAAGGACTCGACTGGAGTGGGTTTATGGAATGTTGCATGACAACTAGGATGGACTGAAAGATAAGAGAAGTCGATGACGAGCGGATAGATAAGACGAGGGCAGGGGAGCACAAACGGCTAGTAGCGCCTGCTTGGAATAAGAAGACAAAGAAGGTGGAAGATAATAACTACAATATGAAAATGAACAAGGTTAACCAAGCAAGTATCGAGATCTGGTGAAACATTTGGATCAGAAGATGGCAAGAGGGTCATCTTAAGTAGTCATGCGACCTGCTACCCAAATAGCAGGTCGCATATCTTTGTCTTAATCAGTCGCCCTCGCCCAGATCATCTCATTATTGCCATCATTAAAGGCTCAAAGTTCCACTTATTTCCTGCAATCAAACCACTGAATGATCGAAGGATTCGGATTGATAAGGTGGCCTTTGACTTTTCACATTATTGAAGGTTGAAGCGTGTTTATCAGTGGTCGCAAGCGGAGATGATATCACCACATGCGTCCGATGTGTCGCAACTCTGTCATTATACGTTGCCACTCTGTCATTCTCCAAACGTCAATTTTTTGCCAACGATTTGGCGAAATTGACATGGGAGAAACGCTAAGCTGAAAAAGAGGGATCACACACATGGCAACTTGTGACAAATCATGTGCGCGCTGGAGTTTGGTTTTTGTGGCCAAACCGCTAAACGTAAATTACAGCTTACGTTTATGTCTAAATGGCTACGTTAAAGTTACGTTTACAGAGTCGCGTTGGAGATGCTCTAACAACTAAACTTAGGTAAGAGCATCTCCACCGCTGGCGTGTAAAAAACTGCTCTGTACGATGTGCTGCTGACAGGTTTGAGCATGTATGCTAAATTTGCACGGAGGTAGGCAAAACCGCTGCCGTGTAGAAACTGACAGGTTCAAACAGTCTATGCCTTTGATCCAAGCATAAGATCGTTTGTCTTGTACAAAATGACAGGGTAGGTTGGACAATATTTCAGATTTTGGTGATATTTGCCTTTTTGTACGCCGTGCAGATTTGCACTCTCCCGGTCAGGATTTGAATGTTGTGTAACCCATACAGGCTGTTTACATGCTCCGGTGGCTCAGCATGAGCCCCGCTCGCTCGGGAGCGGGGACCGGCGAAAATCGACTGAAACCAAACAGAAACAATCTTAGTATGAGATAGAAGAAAAAGAAACTTTACAGAAATCTTATAATAAGATTGAATGTGATACAGTCAGATCAGCAAGAAGTTTTATTACCTGAAACCAAACAGAAACAATCTTAGTATGAGATAGAAGAAAAAGAAACTTTACAGAAATCTTATAATAAGATTGAATGTGATACAGTCAGATGAGAAAAAGAGAAAGAAAGACTGCATCATGGTTCAGGTTATAAATAAAACAAAAAGCACGAAAAATGAAAAGCCTATGACGTCACAAAATGAAATGATGAAATAGTGATGTCATAGTGTAAGACGTGAAATGAAACAAAATGTGAAATGTAATAATAACTTGTAACATGACTTTTAAAGCATACTCTCTGCTATAGCTCGGTTCCCCGATAAAAACCGGGGATCCTCATACTCTTGCCCGGTCCCCGCTCCGTCGGAGTCGGTACGGTGCCGGGGGGCTGAGATACCTAGCCCGAGGCACCGTACCGACGGTACGGAAGCCGGAGATCCCCGAGCCCGCGGGAAACGGGGCTCATGCTGACCGGTGGCTCGAATATTTTCCCACAAGACGTGAAAACAGCCTGTATTTGTTGGACTGAAACCAAACAGAAACAATCTTAGTATGAGATAGAAGAAAAAGAAACTTTACAGAAATCTTATAATAAGATTGAATGTGATACAGTCAGATCAGCAAGAAGTTTTATTACCTGAAACCAAACAGAAACAATCTTAGTATGAGATAGAAGAAAAAGAAACTTTACAGAAATCTTATAATAAGATTGAATGTGATACAGTCAGATGAGAAAAAGAGAAAGAAAGACTGCATCATGGTTCAGGTTATAAATAAAACAAAAAGCACGAAAAATGAAAAGCCTATGACGTCACAAAATGAAATGATGAAATAGTGATGTCATAGTGTAAGACGTGAAATGAAACAAAATGTGAAATGTAATAATAACTTGTAACATGACTTTTAAAGCATACTTAAGTTAAATTTAGAATAAATCCAACAGTATTTGGGATTTTGCACGCCCCGGTGGCGATGCTCTAACAGACATGACACAAACACGGGTATGATTAATACCACAACACGCCCCCTCAAGGACTTCAGGGCACCCTTCACACAAATTTTAGACCAAGTTTCTGACGCAAGAAGAGGAACTGCTATCGTCCCAGAGCTTTCGTCAGAAGATCAGCCACCATGTCCTCCGTTGGGCAATTAGTAACTACTAAAGTGCCTTGCTTAACCACCTCTCTGATCCAATGACATTATATTTCTATATGTTTTGTACAAGCATGTAATATAAATTTTGTAGTCAAATGAATAGCGCCCATGTTGTCTATAAGAAGGGCAGTCAGGTTGAGATCCTCATAGCCAAAAACATAAAGCATATTCCTAAGCCAAACAAGCTCCTGACCGGCTTCGGTGATTGCACGGTATTCACCCTCTGTTGACGAGAGCGCGACCATAGGCTGCAATCAAGATTTCCATGAAATTGGGCCACCGGCAAGTTGAAAAATATACCCTGTAGTAGAACGGCGACTATCCCTATCACCGGCCCAATCCAAATCACAGTGAGATTCAGGCAAGTGAAAACTTTTCAAACCATCAATTGTAGATGAAGACGATTTGAGACCGCTGTACGTAATTCCAAGACTGATGGTGCCAACCATATAGCGGAAAACATGGATAACTGTGTCCCAGTGTTTCCGAGCAGGCGTTTCGAGGTGTTGAGAAAGAACGCCGACAGCATATGATAGATCGGGCCGCGTACACTGGGCCAGATACATAAGGGAACCCACCGCACTTCTGTAGTTGAGACCCTTGAGCTTGAAAGCAGTAACTTCTTCATCGCTAGACCGATACAACTTCAGTCCGGCAGGAAAGGGAGTCGAAGCAGGTTTTAGGTTTTCCATATTGAACCATTCCAGTATAGCACGAGTTGAAGCTGCCTGAGTAATAGTGTAGCCAAAATGTGAAACTCGAGTGATTTGAATTCCCACTACAGTTGTAGCTATGCCGAGGTCCTCCATCTCCCATATTTGGCTAATTTCAGATTTGAAGGTGTTGATGTCATTTCCAGTGATTGCTAAATTGTTGACGTGAACATAGATGGCCATGAAAGTCTTGTTCAAAATTACCGTACAAGTGTATATGCACGGGTCAAGGATACATTGAACAGCATCTTTTTTTTCAAAAACATTGGATTTCCTATTTTATGTTAGATTGTACAGGAATAGTCTTTACATATTCATTCATTTTATGGATCAGAATGCTTTGTGGATTTAGGAAAAACTGATGGCAATATGTACTGTGATGTGGAATGGTCCAATAGATGTGATTCCAAGGTGCAAAATCCAATCAACCTGTGGACAAACATTGTTTGGATCAAATTTGTTGTCCTTGACTTCTCAGAATGATAGAGATGTTCCGCAAAGTTGTATATGATGAGTAGTAGAATGAAAAGAATGTGATACTGTGTTGACATTTTTATTGCAAACCACAATGATTTTGTGTCAAAAATGTTGAGGAGAAATGTTGCAGCTGGGAGCACATCCCATATCATGACTTTGAGGCTCAGAGCCCCAGGAATATCTGTTTGTCAGTTTATTTCATCTTGCTTGTTTATCTTTACACATTTTATACCATTGTAACATGTATGCAAATTCATTTTAACTCCCTTCAAAAAAATTGATACATCAAAAAAAATTAATACAACAGATAAAAGGAGATACCAAGCACTTGAGCACCAGCAAAAGGATTCAGCCCAGAACTAGAATGGAGTCTCAATTCACTGAAAAATACAATCCCACTTGATGCAAGAATGGAATAAAAACATGAGAGTGAATCCTGTGTTGAGTGTTGACGGAGCCTGTGTATTAGTATTATGGCCCATAACTCCAACCTGGCACTCAAAAACTTTTGCCTGGCATAGATCACCTTACAATATCACACAGCATCAAGTTTGGCAGTGGGGTTGTTTGTACACTTTCAATCAATAATTATTACCCCTACTTGTACTTTATATCTGCCTTTTGTAGTTTCATCTGGGTTGAGTAAAGGAAATTGAGACTGATTTGCCTTTTTCCAGTTTGTTCAATTCCTCAAGAGTAACACAACTAGATTCCACATTGGCTGGTTCGGTATCTGGCTGTTGATTCAGAAGAATTGCTGTGTCAGATGTTTCTTGGTCTTCTATTCGGTCGCAATCTTGCTTGCAAGATGACTCGCCCCTTGAGTAGCTAGTTGTAATTTCTCCATGAGATAGTGAAGAGCCATCTTCTGGTGCATCATGCCGCTGCGGCGAAGTGATTTTTTGTGACTCTTTGTCAATTTCTGCTTCATTTAAATGCATCCGCGGGCTACGATTCAGCTGCGATCTTTTCTTATACACCTTCGGTTGTATACGTAACCTCCTGCGCGCCACCATTACCTGAATAAGATAGCAACACAGAAAGTGGTCAATGTAGGTTCCCAAAAATAAAGATTACGCTTGGGAGTACATATGGACTCTGAGATGATCTTCAAGTAGGACAGTAAATACTCAACTGGTACAGATGATTTTTGCACAAGATACTGGCATACCGTTCCCATCAGTGTACCCCTTGTCGAGCTGACTCCGTGACGTCCTACAATCACCAGATTTGGTTGCAAGAAGTCAATGCAGTCAACCAGCATCCGCCTTACGCTCTTTGCATGCACGGCTTGACACGTGACTTTCACGTTGAGGGTGGTACGTTCCAGAAGCGCTGTGGCTAAATCAAGTTTAAAACGTATCAGAGAATTCCTTCGCGATAGAAAAATGTCCCAAGAGATGAAAATAACCAACCTTCTCGCACCAAGGTAGCAGCTTTCTCGCGACGATCTTTCTGATTTTTGATCTTGGCGCGCCCGTCACTCGCAGATCCAGGTTTGTCAGAATCAACTGTTGGGAATTTAAGAAGGTATTATCTTCAGTCATTTGAAATCCCCAATCAGAGCAAGTGTGCGCAAACCAACACTTAGTTTCCGTCTCAATAAGGGTGATAATCAAACACTATATGAGATGGGGTCTTAGGAAGCGTTCAGGATGATCAGCAAGTAGCATACAATTAGCAAAGCGTACCTCGTCTCCTTGTCGCAGTACTGTTCCGATGGTCCATTCGATGGCGTATCTTGATTCCTCACTTAAATCGCTCGCCACCAGATAGAACCGAGACCTTCCGACTTTTTGAAATGCTTTCGCCCTGTCGCCGTGTTCCATGGTGATGGTGCAGCGATTCTTCTCGTAGACTGGTCGTGACACCACAAGAGGAAGCTTGATATGCCCTTGGTGGCCATTGATTGACTTTTTGCGTCGTGATGTGGATCGTGATACGATTGAAGGTTTACGTTTTGGGTCTGTCTCACGGCGTTGATTTGACGAAGAGAATAAGACGGGGATGGGTGGCGGTGATGTGAGATTGGGAGCCTGATCGAAGAATGGAACTGGCTGATTAGAAGTTTGAAGGAAGTCAATCGGAGTGCGCGCAGAGGCGTTTGCGGTAGTATTTGCCAAGATAGTTTGATCTTCTGCACTGTCAAGCGTGTCATCATCACTGTCTCCGCTTGAATCGGTACTACTATCTGAGTCACTGGAATCTTGCTCTGATTGTTCGAAGACATGTCCAGAGGCGACTTCCGATATGCTTTCGCCATCTGAGTCCACTGCAGACCTTGACCGGGAGGCGGATGGAACAGGGCTAGGAGAGCGAGAAGTCGAAGGAGAGTGGTGGTTTCCACTGAAAAGCGACGAGATCCGCATTCGCTGGCGACTGAAGGTGTTCAGATTGTTTATACTCCATCTATTTCGTGTTATTCCGCGTGGGGGTACCACGCTGGCCGCTAGAAAAGCATCATTGGCGCTACCTCTCCGGCCTTTCAGATTGGCGGGCAAGCCAAGTAGCTTTAGGGGTGTACCTTCTTCAAGTATACCTTCTACCAAACTATCAGCTCTTTGTCGAATTCCAGAGGTTATAGTAGACTTTTTCCTGATCTCTGATGCTTCTTCTTTACTTGAGCGACGTGCAGAGAGAACAGCGGACATTTCATGTGTCAGAGGTGTTTGGACTTGTATGGGATCTAAATCTCCAGGGAGATGTGTAGGAGATAGATGTGAGCTAAGATTGAAATCTGCTCGAAAGGGTGTGCTTGGTTGAGAACTACTTTCGCCGGCTTCATTCTCGTTATCATGCTTTGCCCGTGTGAATGAGAATGACGGTACACGGTTATGAAACTTCATGTTTACAGCCCGGATATCAGATAATTCCTACGCTGTGGGAGCCTGGAGGGCAGCAGATCCAATGGCGAGAGTCCACGTGAATGAGAGCAGAGAGTCCACGTGAATGAGAGCAGAGTGGTCCTGTATCGCAAGACGAGAGTGATGAGGCGAAAAGTCCACGCGGATGAGTCCAATGCTTTAATACTTTTCTCTTCGGAGCATTGGCTACGACTCGATTCTCGGTAGGTGGGGAGTGGCTGAGACGAGTTGTGCTGGGCAGCTAGGAGGAACTCGGAGAACCAATTCTGGGCAATGGTGTCACTGGAGACGATGCGAAAGGCGGTGCTCTGAATAGGATCTTTGATATCCTCAACAGGTTGATTGCTATCGATCGATCAATCGATCAAGTTCACGAGACACAGCTCAGATCCCCTCAAGCATCAATCCGCATCAGATGGGGGTCAAGTGCCCATCTCTAATGTACGTCCAATTACATATATCTTCAGGACTCGAAACGCTTGCCCCACTGTGTCATACCACATCCTTCAACTTTGGTCATTGCATGTCGCGAATTGAGTTTCCGGGGCAAGGTTCATGATGTGATGGGCTGAACATCTGGAGTCCAATTTGGCGGAGCAGACCAGGTAGCAAGTCTTACGACTTTCGGATTCAGTGTAAAGAGAACAGACCACATGACCACCTGCCTTCGGCAAAAGAGTCCTTTGTATCTCCAGCTACAGTCGCCGCTCGCTATAAGCACACACTGAGTATGCATATCGTGTTATAAGCATGGATTTTGTCCCAATAAAAAATGAGCAGGGCTTAATTTGTGACCATAAGCATGTAAGTTAAAAGCATGAACTTGAGCCAAAAAATGCTTACAACGAGCGTCAATTTTGCTATATTTAAGCATATTTTGTGGTTGCACAAGCAGATATGCTTATATACAATCTGGTTTTCTGTGCAAGTGTGAACTTTCGAGAAGGTTCATCAAATCTCCTGCCCGCTCTGCTAGCCTCTGCTTTATTGTTCACAGTATATCAACTTATATAAACACTTTTATTCACACTTTTTCAACCATCTTTGACTATATCTCAATCTCAGTCTCATAAGAGAATGGATAAGCTCATCCACAAAACCCTCCTTCTATCGCAAAGCTGCCCTGCTGATAAAATCAGAAAGGCAACCAAGGAAGATAAGATATTCAGAATTTTTTCAGTCCCACCAGTCCTGGATACCAACGACACAGATGAGGGCATTGGATACTTAGTCAACTCAGCACTTGATGCAATCTGTGGTATTGACAAGATTGATCAACACCTTTTCACAGGACCACATGGGATTGAACTTATGCTGAAATGGATTGGTCAAGCTTGCAACCACCCCAGCTGGAAAGGGGATACCAATGCGCACGGTTTTCTTAGCATAAAGCTTGAAAAAGTTTGTCAAAAGCTCCAAGGTGGGTACTTTCTTTGAATCTTTTTGAAATCTGTCTCTTTTATATTCCCACCCACACTCATATTGTTTGTATCTACTTTTTTAGATGCCGGTGCAATTCTTCCTGGGGCTGGTAAAAGTATCCTTCCTACTTCAGGCGTGACATCTGTAGCTGGCCAAAAGAGACGGGTGATTTCAAATGCTGAAGTTAAAAGTTCAAACTTGATCAAGAAAACTAAGCAGCCTATCAACACTCCTGGATCATTGGCTTCTTTGAAATCTACCAATTTGAACGGACCAACACCGCGTGGTGTGTATGATCTAGCCTTCAAGGCGGAGGTTCTTGCATGGCATCACGCAGGCCAAAAGATCCAGCAAGAAACCGCCCGACATTTCAATATCACACAATCTAATCTCAGCCAATGGCTTAAAGACGAAGAGAAGATCAAGGCAAATGCATTGATAAATGGTGGAACAGTTCGGAAACAACGCACAGCAAAGTATCCTGATCTTGAACAAGCTTTATATCAATGGGTAATTGAGGCTCGCGAGCGTGATCTACCAGTCAACGACGAGGTTATAAGAGTCAAGGCTCAACATTTCTCAGACATCCTTCAAATTAAGATGAAATGCTCAGATGGATGGATGACCAAGTTCAAGAAACGCTACAACATCCGAAGAGTCACCCTGCATGGTGAGGCATCCTCAGTAAACCCAGAAGATGTGAAGTCTGCACGCGACGAGCTACTCAAGGTGACGAAGGACTATCAACCTTCTGAAATATATAACGCTGATGAAACTGGACTATGCTATTGGTAAATCTGTGACTGTTTTTCTTCATCAAAGTTCAGCAGATTGATCATCTTCCAACTTTTCTTCTCAGGATGCCGCCAAATAAGACCTTGGCTGACACCCAAAAAGCCGGTGTGAAAGGCGACAAAGCTCGAATCACATACCTCATCTGTGCAAATGCAGATGGCACTCACAAACTCGATCCTCTCGTTATCGGTAGTTCAAAAAAGCCTACCTCGTTCAGGAGCAAGCCCGCAGGTTATTACGGTCTCCAATAAACTAATAGTAAGAATGCCTGGATGACCGGTGCAATCTTCGGTGACTGGCTTCAGAAGATTGATGCTGACTTCCGTCAAGAAAATCGCAAAATCTTACTCCTGCTCGACAATTTCTCCGGTCATAAAGCCCCAGTCAAAACTCTTAACCTCACAAACATTACAGTACATTTCCTTCCACCAAATCTCACCAGTGTCTTACAGCCTTGTGATGCTGGAATAATCGCGGCTTGGAAAGCTCACTACAGACGTAACTTGATATCTCTAGTAATCCGGAGACACGATGATAATCCGGACAAACTAGCAAAGGATATCTATTGGCTACCACTCCTGGACGCTATGCGTATGGCTGATTCGTCATGGAAGTCTGTTACTCGCGAGACGATCACAAACTGCTGGCGTCACACCCAAATAGTGGCAGCACTCCAAGAAAACAAGAACCTACCTTCCACCCCAACCAATACAAATCTAGCTCCTGATCCCGACCTCCACAAAATTATCGATGAGGCTTCAAAAGTCCTAGAGCGACTTGAAGAGTGCACAGGCCTGGATGAGAGTCGATCCGAGGTCCGGATCAGCATTCAAAACTTACTCGATCCCAAGATCGAGAGGCAATTACCTGACGATGATCAACCAATGCCGACCGATCTCGAAATTATCAAATCAAGTGCTAACAACTCTGAACCCGATGCGCCCGATGATCCCAAAGATGACGAGGAGGATATGGGGGAGCTCATCCGTGTACCAATGTCAATGGCTCAAATCTCACAAGCCATTGACGACATCATCTATTCACTCAACCGTCAACCTCATGATGCTGACGGGCCCGACTGGAGCTTACATATCAAAAGCTTTCACTCCATGCTCAATGAAATCAGCCATGTCCGCTTCACTTCATTAAAGCAAAAGTTCTTAACTGATTTTTTTAACCTTGATTCGACTATTTAATAAAGCCTGATAAATCCTTTTACATATTCTTTTTTCTTCTAGTCTCTTGGTACATTCCTTCCCTTCATATGAAGCTCTTTGTATGCCCCATTATTTTTGTCTGAGATATGCAATGCTATGCCAACCCATGCCCACTATCACCAAAAAAGTTGTCCGACAGTTTTTTTTAAAAAAATAGGCATAAAGGTTAGTTTAAATGCAAACTATGCCTTTATGCTTATTTCGAATTGATGCATAGCGCGATATAAGGTTGACAAACTTTTAGATTAAAATTATGCTTATAGGGCGCGGCGACTGTATCTCCAGTCTTGGATGCTCCAATGCTTCAAGATAAGAAGTGGTGGCTGCGCTCAATAGTTTCAGCTTAACGTCGCAAATAATAAGATTGGCGGGTCGGAGAGAAAATGCCACAGATTGAGAGGTGTATTTCTTTCTTGCACTATTTTATTTCGGTGAGCCATTAGACCGCAAAACACATGAGTACTAGAGTTAATGAAAGGAAGGCTTGAATTTTGAAGGGAGGTTATCAACTGGAAGATGACCGTGAGTTTCCTCAATAAGTCGCTATGACCCGGCCCGGGGTCAACATGGCTGGCCCTTGGTTCAGGTAAAGGCCATGAAAATTGCCAAGATTGGGACCTTCTAGCAAATAGGGTATGGTCTATAATTTCATTGTTCAAGAGATATGGTGCAGTTGAAGGGACCAAACCAATGGTCCAACTCAAAAACATGACTAATTGTAATAATTGAAATCCAAAGCAAGAGATTCAATTGTCACCAATTTTGCTATTGAACAGCTTACAGCGCTTCAAGAATCCTTCGGTTTTTTTTAACGCAAGAAAACGGAATAAATGTCCAAAACCCTTGCTAAAACCCTCGCTGAAACCGATTTTGTACTAGAATCTGTCAAATTTGAACTGTCCAAATGAGTTTTTTCCGAGTTTTGTCCAAAACTTTAAAAAAAAGAACACCAAATAAACCGAAGGATTCTTGAAGCGCTGTAGTACCAAATCAACTATACTATCAGCATGTTTGCCATCCAACAGTCTTTGAAGAACTGTGGATTTAACTCTTGTTCTATGGGCGTCATACCACTCTGCAATTATCAGAATGTTGAAGACCTGCTAGCATTTATAAAGCTCAGTAGAGCCTGGACTATGGATAACTGTGTTATGATCCCACGTGTCAACACTCCGTGACAATACATTACCACATGTCACTAGTTAGATTTCTATCTCAGTTGTGCGTTGCACCAGTTGTAATAATCCTCATCTGACAATCTACCTAAATAGCCAGAACCCAACGTTGCTGAGCCACGACCCTTGTCAAGACCCCTCACCCCTGGCCTTAACAAACTGGAGATTGATGGTCTGAAACAATGAATGAACTTCCAACATTGGAACATTTCTGCAGGGCAAGTGGAGAAAGCTATCAACAAGACTGTTTAGCAATGTTGGGCCGCTGCGTTACGTTGCTGGCAACGGGGGGTTGCCAAACAACGCAGCGGGGTTTTTTTGGCCCACCCAGGTACAACACAGTGGGCAACTGCGAAAGCCGCTGCATTGCGACACAACGCAACTAACGTTGCGTACAGTTGCACACCCGCAACACGAGATAATGAAGAAACAAAAAAGAAAAAAGACAAAGCCTGTTTTTGCGGTTTTTTATTGAGTCATAAGACTAAGACTACAACAACTTTCATTCGTGTATCTAATTGTATTCATGTATTTAAATGTATTACTTTGCCCTCTTAGTTCTTCCCCCCAATGCCTCGATGGCTTCATTCACCTCGGTGTAACTATGTGCCAAAGGTACACCTTGACGAATCCAAAGGCGCGAACCGACGTTGTACTCAATGGTTCGCGGAACCAGACAAACTCGATCACACAAACAAATGTCTGCTGCTGCTGAGAAAGTCCGTTCCACAATTCCAGAACTGGCCGAGAGACTTGAGTAGTCTTGCGCAAGAGACGCTAGGACTGGGAAAACGGTGCAGTTCACCTACAAACAGTTGTATAAACAATTGAGTTGAATGTTTGACTGACAGAATGACACAAGCAAGATCACTTACACTCCACCATGGTAGGACCGCTTTGCAATCCCTTGCGTTGTCAGAAGCAGCCATGGGATGAGTTCCCTTCAGGTAGGAAGTGACTTCGTCACGCGCCACTTCAGGATCTTGACTTTTGAATAAATTGAATACACTTTTCACTCCGGAGTTGCTGGAGTTTGAGGTTGCTGGATCAGATACTACTGTGATTTCATTTGCATTGGTAATTGAATCATGCTCCTTTTTCCGCTTGTTGAATTTTTCTTGAAACAGGTTTTGTGCTCAGATTGTGTAGCGATGTTCTGGTCCAAACCCTTGCTCAAAAATCTGAAGCCAAAAGAAGGGATTGAGAATAGCAGCCATGACTGTTGTATCACATTTCATAGCCTCATCCAGGTATTTGTCAACACGTGATTGCATTGAGGAAATCATCGGCAAAAGAGCCTCTCCCATGGAAAGCTCTTTTGCTTGGCTGTCCAGATGAGCCTTGAGTGCATAAAACTCAGCAATAACCATCGAGCCAGTGGGCCTGTTGCCCTCCATGCGCTTTGTGAGGATCAGGAAAGGGTGATGAGAAGTGGCCACTATCAGGTAACGAGTAGATCTTGCAACTCATGCTTCATACCTTACCGCGAGCTCCCTTGGTCTAAGCTTCAAGCATAGCCCTATCGTTGTAAGAACAGTTGATCTCGTGGAACTAGCCTCGGGGTATGTTTGAACCCTTAGATTGACGCTTCTCGGCTTGGACATGGTCAAGATCCTCAGCAAGAAGCTTGCTCACTACCTAAGGATTGCATAATGTTAGAATATGAAGCAAAGGAACTAAGCTGTTGAAATGAAGTTGGAATCTTCTAGAAGTTTGAAGGCTAACTCACCTTCCGTGCCTGAACAAATTGATTGAGGGAATCAAACTCTGCATTCCGACGTGTTACATTGTATCCAGGAGTTAACGGTAAAAGTTTCATATCGATTTCTTTCGCTTTCCTTGCGAAGTACCTTCTCCAAGCGGCCGAGCGAGAGACCTGACAAGAAATGAAATTAGCCTGAAAGTACCAGAGTGTCAGTGTAGTTCATTAACAGTGTTTAGTGGTTAACATTACCTGTCCCATGAATGCATTTAGATGGTTTGCCTGTTTTCTGGACTCTTGGGTATGATAAGGATTTGTGGTGGCCTTTGGAGCTGTATCTTCAGGTGAGTCCGTTTCTTCATCAAGCTTGTCCTCCATGTCTTTGTCGTAGTCTGGAGCAACACCTTGGAAGTCTTCTCCCTCTGAATCATGATTGGTTTTGTCATCGTCCGGTGGCAGACCTTCTTCTTCTTCTTGTTCTTCATTGGCAAGATCAATGACTTTTGTGGTCATTTCTTCATCCTCGTCTTCTTCTGCTATGACGGGCATTTGCTCGGACATTGGAAATGCTCCTAAGAGCGATTCTCTTTGAGAATCTCGTGAAGGCGCCGTTCAACCGAGTTCCAAAAGGCCACCTTTGACAGTCACCAAAAGTTTATGAAGGAAGCACCTGGCGTAGTCGGTGGTTGGATTCCACGTGTAAGATTGATCATTGGAGGATGTTACATTGTTGGCTTCTTCCAAGTTCTGGAACTGGGTATGCATCTCTTCCGCCATTGTGATGTTGTTTGAACCTGAGTCTGTCACCTTGCAGAGCATGTGCCATTCAGAAATAGATTGCAAAAAACGAAAAAACAAAAGAAACAACAAATGTCAGTCTACTGTTTTGACAACATCAGAAATTGTACTCATCTTGCATTGAAGCTTATGCTTCTTCATGAAATGAACCAATGGTTGAGCGAGCCACTTCCCGTTGTGATGCCACACAACTAGCTTCAAAGTTAAGTGTCGGACTTGATAGTTCACCGTGTCCTTGTGGCAGTTGCCCGACAACAAGCGCACACGGAATGCCTTTGAGGCACAAAGGCAACTCGTGTGCGCTCGTCAACAAGCAAACACCACACGGACATGGTGGTTCCAATTGTCGTCCACAAAAGTGACCGCAGCACCTAGGAAGGCATGGGTGTTGTTTGCCTTGGTCCATTCATCATGGATGAGCGTAAACCTCCCCGTGTTACCCTGTCAAAGAAAGTATGCTCACAAAGTCAGCATTCCAGAAGTAGTATACAAAAACAAAACAAACAAACTCACTTTTATCTCGTTCAACACGGTGTCTTGAAAAGAGACATACATTCCTGCAGCTTCTCTGGCCACCCACGTACGGCCAAAGATCTTGATGTCCTTGCAAATGTAACGGAAAGCAAGGCAAAGAAAGTGATCATCTCTGCGGTTCCATGGTAGCGCTTGCGCCAAGATCCACATCGTGAGTATTTGATTCAGTACTTTGTTTTTGAATGGTGTCGGTGATTTTAAATCAAAGAAATCACCTAAATTGTGCTGGTTCTTTTTAGCTTTCTGTGCGTCAATTTCAAAAGCTGTTGGTGGGAGATTGGCGCCTGTTAAGATAATATCTTGTGTAGTGGTTAAGATACTATCTTAGGTAGTAGTCAAAGATCATTTACGATTAAGGAAATTGTGGATTTGGAAGAAGAGGTTGATTAGTTGGTTGGTGAACAATCGGTTAAGCTAGTGTGGAATGTAAGGCAAGCGGTTAGTTGTACAAAGGGTTGGAGATTGGTTATGCATGAATCAAGGGGTACAGGAATTTTGTGAATTGCTATATCTTTTGTTGTGTTTCATTTATCCCACTTGTTCTGATTCTTTTCTTCGTCGAAAAGAATCAGTAAGTCATCTTTCATTATTGTTTCATTTTCACTGGTACTCAATTTAAGATAACTAATTTTCTTATTCTGTTCCTATTCATCTCACAAGATTATTAGTTGTGCTTGTTCATCTTACTCATTTTCCTTACGCGTGTCCTCGTTGTTATTCGAGCTCGCAAGTACAAATCTTCTTCGTAGCTCAAGTTTCTTTCTATAGAGTGTCTGACGGTGTTATTTTCTGTTTCTTCTTTGGATATGTTGGTTGTGTAGGTCTGTTCTTGTTTCTCGTCATAAGACTAGCAGTGAAGCTATAGTCTGACAGGAACCTGTGCCCTCAGGTGTGTTGAAAAGAATCAATTATTAGTTGTGCTTGTTCATCTTACTCATTTTCCTTACGCGTGTCCTCGTTGTTATTCGAGCTCGCAGGTCTGTTCTTGTTTCTCGTCATAAGACTAGCAGTGAAGCTATAGTCTGACAGGAACCTGTGCCCTCAGGTCTGTTCTTGTTTCTCGTCATAAGACTAGCAGTGAAGCTATAGTCTGACAGGAACCTGTGCCCTCAGGATTCTGTTTTCATTACTATAGGTTTCACTTCTGAAAGTCTTACCCAGTTCCAACTGGTGAATCGAGATCAAGGACGTCTGAACATTTTATGGTAGCAAGAGTAAAAGATCTTATCGACCAATTTTCGCTTGTATGAGTTCTCTTGAAAACGTCGACAACACTACCGACGAGACCCTCGATAACTCTACCGTAACCGAAGGCTCTAGCTCTTCAAATTCTACCAATTCCTTTTGAACGGTTCATCAATCTAATTCTCTTCGTGATCCTAATTCAACTTCGCATCACCAATCTTCAGCCATGCCTCAAGAATCTAGTGACTCCAGAACTTTTGGTGAACCTATCCAAAAGTTCTCACAGATCATGACGAACGCTTTGAGCAAGTACAAAGTGTCTGATGATCTCACCGATGACAACTACATCGAGTGGAGTCAGTCTTTGATGGAGGTCTTCCGCTCTCTGGAACTCCATTACTATGTCAAAGTGAAGGATCACGTAAATCCCAACTTGACCGCTGAAGAGGTTGAAAAGACACGTTTCAACATAACTACCTACATACTTGGTCGACTCGATTCATCTAATAAACTCAGAGTTCGAAACAAGCTGACTGATCCGTTGGATCCTACCGAGTTAATTTATGATCCTTATGAGTGCTGGACTTACTTAAAAGATTTTCATCATCGAATTTCAGAAGATAAACTTGAAACAATTACTCGATCTTTGTACTCCTGTCAAATTTCCAGGTCTGATACCCTTACCGGCTTCGTTGACAAATTTGAGAATCTCATTCGAGATTTCTATCGCCTAAAGGGCGAATTGTCAGACGCTCAGTCCGCTAGAATGCTTCTAGGGGCTATTCCCTCACTCACTGTTGAAACCAAGGAGTACATTCACAATACGGTCGTACCCTTAACTCGAGATGGAGTTGGAAGATACCTCAGGAAATTTGAAGAACACCACGGTTGGACAACCTCGGCTGTCCGTGAAGTTCACTCTGTCACCGTTAAATCATCAAAGAAAGAATGCACTCCTGATGAGTGTTTTGGTCCTCATATGGCCAAAAATTGTTGGTCGAAACCTGAAAACGCCGACAAACGCTCAGCCTTTCTGGCGAAAATCCGAGGAAAATCGTCTACTGGTAGTTCAAATTCAACCTCCCAACCTCAAGCTACTTCTACCATTAGAGGAGTGAAGAATGTATATGACTCAAATGTTAATTCAGCCTCAGCCAGTATGGCCTTTCTTTCATTAAACGTTGAATTCGTGGAGATTGAAACATCGAACAAATCAACTCCTGAAGAAATCTATTCCGCACCCTCCGAGTTTGAGGAAGATCCCGACGTCAGCGCCTCTGTATCTGCAGTGTTGTCTACTTCCTCAGACTGGGCTCTCCATGATACTGGAGCAACCCATCACATGTTCAAGGATGTGAAATACTTCGACCAATCCTCTCTGATTAAGATTGAGGATGCAAGTAAGCGTTTGAAATTGGCTGGTGGTGATATCTCGTTAGCTGTTCATAGTCGAGGTATTGCTAAGCTTCTGGCTGGGGATGATACGGTTTTCGAACTCAAGAATTCACTTTATGTACCGGAACTTTCAAGAAATTTAGTGGCTGGAGGACTGCTCAAGAAACAAGGAGTTAGGGAAATCTTTCACGACAGCAAGAATTTTTCTCTGGTTATCAATGATCTGGCAGTCTTCAACGGTTTCATCTCCGACAATAACCTAATGTTCATCCTACTCCAACCTGTGAGTCTAGGTGCTTCATCATCAGTTTCAGCTTCGATTACTGAAATATCTTCATTGCTTCAACACCGACGATTAGGGCATGTAAGCTCTAAATACCTCAAACTGATGGCAAAGTTGGATAGTGTGGAGGAATTCTCTTACTCAGATGAAACTTTAAACTGTGATACTTGTTCTCTTTCCAAAAATACCAAATTATCCTTCAACAAAAGTAGACCCCGTGCTCGTAATTTCCTAGAAAACGTCCATGTAGATCTTAGCGGAATTATTAGAACCACTGGTCTGAACAATGAAAATTATTTTGTTTTATTCTGTGATGATTACTCTTTGTATCAACACATTTACCCGTTAAATGGTAAAACGAAGGAAGAAGTTTACGACGTTTTTATGGCTTATCTTGCCGTTGCCGAGAGGCAGACTGGCTGCTCACTGAAGCAGTTCACACTGGATCGTGGTAGTGAATTCTTAAACAATCTACTCGGTCAGAAACTTAAAGAACTAGGGATCACTTTGCACCTTACTTCTGGTCATACCCCTGAGGAAAATGGCGTCTCTGAACGTGGTATGCGCATAGTCAATACCAGGGCCCGTTCAATGATGCTTGGCTCATCTTTACCTATCCGTTTTTGGTATTATGCATGCAGTACTGCTGTGTTTTTGACAAATCGTTGTGTGACTGCTTCTCTCGAGAGTGGTAAAACCCCTTTCGAAATGTGGTATTTTCGTAAACCCTCAGTTCAACATCTTCGTGTGTTTGGGTGTCAAGCCTTTGGTCTTATCAGAAAAGAATTGCGGGACTCAAAGTTCTCCCCGGTTAGCTCAGAAGGGGTGTTAGTTGGCTTCCATCAAGACAATTTTAACTATCAAATCTTTGATCTGTCGACTAAGAAAGTTTACACAACTCATCATGCTACATTCAACGAAGACATTTTCCCGTTCAGTGAAGTTCCTGCGATTTCTTCTAACTTAAATTCAACTCTGGATCGACGTACAGTGAAGGTTCAGTTCTTTGATGAAGACAGCGAATCTGAGGATATCCCTGAGGATGCTAATCCAGTCGAGGAGTCATTAAGTAGACTAGATGATCAAAGGACAAATCTTGATGTCTCATCGTCTGTTCCACCAGCACCTCGGCGTTCAACTAGAACCTCCAAGAAACAACATAACTCACTCAAAGGAATGTGCTCTATAGCGGTTTTTGAGTGCGATTTTGTGACCGGTTCCTTCTTCGCTGCTTTTCCTCCGGAAGCAAATCTTGGAGACCTCCATCCCATTCCTGACCCAAAGTCTTATAAGCGTGCGATGGAATCCTCCGAAAGTGATCTCTGGAGAGCGGCATGTGATAAAGAGTTCAAATCTCTAAAAGATA